GGCTGGAGGCGGGGGGGGGGCTGCCAGCGCACTCACCCCGCGGGGGTCACCGCTACTGCGCTGTGCCGAGTCCTGGCAGCCGGTGGGCACCGCTGGCAGATGCCCACAGCCCCTGTGCATCCATCCCTGCCGCATAAACCCGCCAGCGCTGCGCTTGGCTTGCTCGCTTGGGGCCGTCGCTTTGTCAGGACGCGGACGGTGGTGTAAACACCCAAACCTGCCCTTGCCCCCTGCTCCAGGTACCGGCTGGCTGCTGGGACCAGTGAAAAGATTCAGCTGAGCTCCCTCATCGCGGCTTTCCAAGTCACCAGGGACCTGATTGTGGCCGAAGCCTGAGTCCTGCCGGGTGGATCCTTGCTTGCAAAGCCGGATCTCGCGGAAGCTGGAAGGGATCGTCAGCCCCATGCCCGGAGCTGCTCCCTGCAGCTTTCCACTTCCTTTTCGCAAGCCTCGAGCCCGCAGCCGGGGCGCGCGAGTCGGGCAGCGTTGTTTCTAAGCTTCACCGGGAAATACAGATGCCTCTAAAGCCCAGCAGGTTGCACTTGTCTTTTCTTTTCCCTCCCGTACAGCAAGGACCGAAGGGAGGTGGTCGAGCCTCACCCCCTGCCCCTGTCCCATTGCAAAGGCCTCACGCCCGCACAGGCTGAAGTCCAGCTGCTGTCACCTGCCTGCAAAACCTCCCTTCCTTGCAGGGCAGAGCTTGTGCCACCCCGTCGCTCATGCAGCCGAGCGGGGCAGCCGTGCACAGCAAGCTGCGCGGGGACGGCGCGGTTTCTTGCCGTGACATCCCTGTTACAAGAGGGGACGCAGCTGTGGGCGACACCTGTACGGGTTAGGGAAACGCCAGCTTTCTGGGTTCAACTGCTCGCAAGGGAAAACATCCCGGGGAGCATTTTAGAGGAGACATTCCCCGTCTTCTCCATCAGCTGGGGTCACGGCTTCGGGCTCGTGCACAGACTGAGCCCTCTAGCATGCAGGGGGCTCAAAGCACATGCTGTCACTCCAGAGACCGGCTAAGCTGGAGGGAGACAAGCACACGAGACTGCTTCATGCACAGCATGTCCCGACACGGGGCTGCTGGAGTGCCGAGTTCCAGCGGGGAGAGAAAGCAACAGAGGAACGGGAGCTGGGGGCTGTGTGAAGCCCCGTGTCCCACCTTCACGGTGGGCTGATCCTCCCCAGCACCCACCGCTGAACACTCCCTGGTCTGCTGCACTTCAGAGCCGAGCAAGCACTCGCTGCCGCCCCGACAGCTGCAGCAGGAAGGCTGGAGGCCCTGGGCCCCAGCCCGCTGGAGCCTGCCCTGCCAGGTATTCCCCAGGTCACCTCTACGAGCCAAGAGGAAAGACGTGAGGAATAATTTTTTTATTCTGTCATCGCTGTCGCCTAATCCGCAGAGACCTGCTCAGGTTTGTCCAAATCACGCCCAGACCAGGAGAGCGGCAGAGCCCGCGTTCCTCCGGCAACAGTACAAACCGGTCCCGGTGAGGGTCGGTTTTGTCGGGGACGGTCGCAGCCCCGTATTCATACGAACGACAAAAGCTCCGCTCAGACTGCGGCTGCTAACCTTCAACCCACAACATTGCACTTGGAAGCAAAAGCACCTGACCCAAAACTTGCAGACAGCAGGGAGACAGGGGGACCTGTGTCCCCTGCGGGGCCACCGCAGCTGTGCCCCTTGCCCTCTGCATGCATTTTTGCTGGGTTCTAGTATTATTATACCGAAAAATCCCTCCACGTTCACAGACACAGCCCCAAAACAAGGGGAGTAGCAATCCTCCTGCCCCACGGCTCACGAATCAGCGAGACGTCGTTGCTGCGGTGTCTCCTCTGACCCAGGCCGAGCCCCGCCGCCGGGCAGAGGGCTCTCGCCTCCATGCCTCCGCTTTCTCCGCTGCCTTAAAAGGTCCGGTAAGTAAGGAATTCCTTCAGCTTCCTGGGAATGGGGAGTGCAAGGACCTGGTACGTCGTCAGGAAGGTGCGCAGAGCTTTGCGACACAAGTGCTTTAGCGATGAGAGGACCCTTGGAGCAGTCCAGAATTGCACGTGGCCATCCCTGGTCCTGCAACAGGACCCAAACAAGCCGTGAGCACAGGGCAGAGCGTCGCGAGAAAACTCAATTACCCCCAAATATCCCCAGCTCGCAGCAACCACGCACTCCCCAGCCCAGGAAACCAGCCTGCACCCCCAGGGAAGCCCAGAATTTGCTGAGCAGACCCAGAGCTGCAGGAGGAGGGAGCAGCCACGTGTTTCTCCGCTCTCTTCTCCCACATACGCACCCCGTGGCAATGAAACCGCCGTGTGGAAAGTACATGCAGCACAGGCCGTTGGTCATGGGAGCAAACGCAACCGGAGACCGCAGCTCCAACGCCCAGATCCTCAGGAGCCTAAGGAGAAAGGGAGGGGACACGATGCCAGGCCCACATCCACGCAGTGCCTGCAGCTAAAATAAAGCCTCTGGGTTCACCTGAATGCATGCAAACTCTGGAGTAGGATTTTCTTCCCATGGGCTTAGAGCATCCCAGGACCGTCACAACACGGCAGCAAGGCGGGAGGCACTGTCCCCTGTAGAGCTGAGCTGGACGCAGACAGAGCTAGTGACTGGGCTGACGGGGACAGTGAGGGTGGCACGGCACACAGGACACAGGCCCCGGCTCATCGCTCAAGAGGGGCAACAGGGCCCTGACCTTGCTACCCCTTGCCACAGCCGAGCTGCGGTGTCCCAGGCAGCCTGCCCTTTCCCCTTACGCCGGGCATTGGTGGGGACCTGGCATGCGAGGTCTGCTCCCCACGGGCACGTCCTGAGCTCCTGGTTCGTTTTGGTACTGTCATCCTGGGACCCTCTTCCCACTAGAGGTCCCCAAGGGGGTTCACTCACCTGTCGTCCGCCACCGTGGCCAGGTAGAGGCCCTCAGGAGAGAAGCAGACGGAGCGCAGGGAGCTGGTGTGGACTTCGCTGCTGTAGTCCACCGCTGAGTGCAAGGGGACGTGGCTGCGGGTGGGGAGAGCAAACCCAGCGTCAGCCCCAGGCTGCCGTGAGCCCCATCCCCAGTGTTCCAGGGCTGGCAGAGGGGCCAAACCCGGCAAGTCAGAGCCCCCCTTCAGCCGCTGGAGACAGGGGAGAGGTGCTGGCTGTGCCCAACTAGAAGGGAAGGCCACGCCTAGCCCCAACAATCCCCCACGGCGTTGCTGTCCCCCTTCCACGGTCCCTCACCAGCCCCCCAGCTCCATACCGCAGCGTCCTCAGCTGCTCCCCGGTGTAGGGGTCCCACATGATGACGCAGGCGTCGTAGGAGGCGGTGACGAGGAGCGCCGAATCCGGCGAGAAGTCGCACGACACCACGCTGCTCTGGTGCCCCTCCAGCCTCCGGATGAGGGTGTAAGACCGCATGCTCCACAGCAGCACCTGCAGGACACGGGCAGGGGCTGAGGCTGGGAACATCCCCGGGGCGGGAACGGAGGAGAAGCATCTCCCCCTCGGGGTTTAAGGCACATGGGCTCTGGTCCCAGCTCCTCCATGGAGAACCAGAACGGCCGAGGAGGGAAGGTGGCTCTGGCCTGGCCCCTTCTCATAGAGGGGCTTCTCGCATGGGGGCCAAGGGGAGCACTGGATTCAGCAGGACACGGGATGGCTCCCATCCTGCAGGACTCACCGACTTCTCTCCGGCAGCGGAGCAGAGCATGCTGCAGTCCGGGGAGATGGAGCAGCAGTAGACCCACTGCACGTGGCCCGACAGCACCTGGACCTGCCGCCCTGGGGACGGCAGACACACGAGTCACGAGAGGGGAGCATAGAATCATAGAATCATAGAATCATTAAGGTTGGAAAAGACCTCTAAGATCATCGACTCCAACCGTCGACCCAACACCACCATGCCCACTAAACCATGTCCCCAAGTGCCGCATCTACACGTCTTTTAAATACCTCCAGGGATGGGGACTCCACCACTTCCCTGGGCAGCCTGTTCCAATGTTTAAACCACTCCTCAGTAAAGAAAATGAGAGGCAGCGCTGGGCCCTGCCCCTGCTCTCCCCTCCCTTTCCCAAGAGCGAATGCACGTGGGGCTGGGGTGTTCCCCTGGGCAGACCCCAAGCTCTGCCTACTTGCAACCCCCTCCTGCACATCCCAGGCCCCACCTGGAAGAGGACGGCTCTGCTCCATGTCGCAGGACTCTCCCCTTCTGCCTTGAACACTATCCCCAAAGATCGTCTCCCACCATCTCCCCTACCAAGGCGGGCTTCTCCCCGCTTTCCCGCTGAAGAGCCCAGCCTCAGCCAGGGGTGACCTAGCACCGGGGACATCCCTGCATGCTCCTACCATCTCTGCTCAGGTCCCAGACGCGCAAGGTCTTGTCCCGCGAGGCCGACACAAGGATGAGGCTTCCATTGGGAGCGAAGCTCAGGTCTCTGACGACGTCCTGATGCCCCAAGAGGCTGAAGAGGAGGTGTCCTGTGGAGAGGAGCCGCGCTGAGCGCCGTCCCTCCACGGGGAACGAGGCAGTGCCCCTCATGCGCAGGCAGCCCCACTTGGGACAGGGCAGGGGCTCCCGCTCACCCCGGGGAAGTATTTGGGGAAGGATGGAGACGGGATCTCCTTCCAAGGGGAGCAAGGGGAGAGACACCAGCCTGAAGCCATGACTGCTCCCGCTGTCGGCGAGGGCCACTCACCTGTCTGCACCTCCCAGACCTTGATCTGCCCATCGTTGAGCCCGGTGGCCAGGATCAGGCAGGGAAGACCCACGGCGCAGGCGGGGTCCGTCTCCCCCGCCTCTGCCACCGGCCAGGCGCTGAAGGCCAGGCCCCACACGATCTGGCCGCACTCCAGCGTCTTCTCCTTGGCCACCCCTCGGCTCCTCGCCTCCGCTTTGCTGCCGCGGCTCTTGCGCTCCGAGGTTTTGCAGCCGCTGGGAGAAAGGAGGGACGCACCTTTACCCCCGGGACAGCCTGGCCCCCCAGGATCCT